GATATACCTGGTCCTGATTTGATGCATATGTACTCCAAAGCTTCTCTAAGTTGTATATGTTCTCACTTTCTCATCAAAGGCATGAATTACTACTTTACCATTAACAAAAATCAATAACTAAAAACATAGAATACTAAGGAATTCAGCAGAATATGAGAACTAGCGAGTTTACTTAATTGATGGCTAGTAAAACTACGTCCTGCACTCACACAATCACATGGATCAATGTACTCTGCATGTACTGCACTGCAGACTACACACACACACAAAAGTCGATTTCAACTTGATATGACATATAATGAACGTCATAAATAAATACAGAGCACTTTATTGCTAAATAACAACATCAAAGATGTAGAAGTTGATTGTAGGTCACAGTTGATAGTCCATTTAGCACCAAAATAAATATTACGGATAACTCTTACAAACTAGATCTATAAAGAATGAAATATGTCGACTTATTTACATATTAAACATCATGATTGTCATAACAGAATGGTTTAAAAGCTAATTAGTGTCATAACGCATGAAAATTTGAATTTGATAGAAGTTTAAAACACATATGATCAGACCAAGAACTCATAGAAGCACATCATCTTTGATACACCACACCAATTTAAGCAACTTGGAGATAATCCTTAGCATCAGTAGCTTTTATGAGACAAGTAACAGATTTTTGTCTCGAAAATGTATTTTAAAAATGCTCTCCTAAGTTTCTACATATATCTTCCCCAAAACAAGTTAACTCTCGTTGGAAATAAATAACAACATAATGCACAATGCTTTTCACATTTTGTGAATCCACATCCACAAAAATCTTAAAGCTGCATAGATAAGAGTGCTAAAATAAAGTGCTTATTATCAGAGTCGATTACAATTCAGTTGCTCACTTCTTTCCCTTTCATGTTAGGTAACAACATTCTCTTTGATCCTTTTCGCTTCTGCTTAACCTGCTCATCGAACAAAAAGGTAAAGGGCAAATAAGAAAATTATTCAAGCAAAATCGTTAAGATATTTGTTTTCGGTAGTTAAACACTGAATATGCAATCATATTCTTTTCACAATTGATCTCATACTAGCTATTCTTCAACTCCAAAGTTCTTCTAAGCTGTGAACCAAAAACATGCACAAAACTAATTTCTAGATTCATTTCTCTTTAAATGAGATATCAAGTCAAATCAAAATCAATGATTGGCCAAATAGCCTGTGCGACAAGTTTCAAGTTGTCAATCACAGGTAGATATTTCAAATGTATATTGTTGCAACAACCCATAGTTGACAAGTTAAAGTTATCATATGCTTCTCGATCATGTCCTTCCGCAAAGATACTTCCTCTTTCTTGGTCGATTGCCAGCTTATACTTAAGATGGCAATTAAAATTATTTTTAAAAACTGAAGATGATTGTTGATCCTCCCTTATCTGTCTTGGACACCCATACACTATAGTGAGATAATTCCCTGTTACAACAAGGGGAATAGGCTCTCCATCTGGAAGTTATCAGGATAACAACTTTTGACGTCCTTTCTTTTCCCTTCTCCCTGATGCGCAGGCATATTCTAGCCTTCAGCCTTGCATCGCTGGCACATAAATGAGACATGCAAAGCAGCAGAATCACAAAATAAGATTATGCCATGTCCAGCTTTGACATAACTCTTACCCCAGCATTTTATAAGCTTAAAAATGAAAATCTATTTAGGTGAGCACACCTCATCCGAGCTTTAATTTTAAGATTAATCAAGAAGTCTGTTTTCTGATAGTTCAATGGATATTTTCAGTTCTTCATTTCCTTCTAGCAGTTGTCAGTAACTTTTTAAAAATTAGATAAAATAAGGTATTCTAACAAAGATTCCACATTTCTCCTCAAAAGTGCCTATAGTAAATTAGGAACTGGGAATTGTCTATTGCTACATCTGGGACATTTTGCATAAATAATACCGGTTCCTTCCCCTCCCCCCCCTCAAATGCATGGGTATGCTACTTATGTAAACTTCAAGTGTGTCCATTCATTCAATTGTAACACAATATACTATAATATATGATCCCTCAGTTGCTATTAATGTAGGTTCTTCCACATACACACACCTTGTACCCAAAGGCACTCTATGAAGCTGGAACGAAGTCGAGAAGTGAATATAAAACTTAGGATTAAAGATTAAGAATACATGAAGATTCTTTTTTACTCCTAGTGCAACATTGTTAATATGCTCCATAGTAAGCAACGTCTTTCCAACCGTTGCACCACCAAAAAGTTCAATCTTTCAACCTCTTTGATACAGAGAAAGTAGATACTGCCAAAGACAGTTATGCATTCAGAATGATTTGTTTATCGAGTTCTTATTCATCATCTTCTTCCTCCTTTTTTTCTTTCAAGTTCATCGGTGTCAATTTTTATTAATTTTTTTAAAAATTTTTAATCTATAAACTTTCGATTCATATGGATGATGCTCCATCTTTTAGTATTTAGATTATCCAAATAGCTCTCAACCATTAATGATAATATATGTCGTATATTTGAATCTGACAACGAAGATTTTATTGCAAATAGATCAAAATAAAGAAACAATCCATAATTCATGAAAAATATGAGTTTGAAGAAGTTGAAGAAGGATGCATGCTCTTATTAGTGGCGTGAGTTGTTCTAAAGGGGCAAACAATGCATTTCTAAGTTAGAACGAGCCCAATGTGAAAAAATAAAATTTATCAAATTTTGTGTGCTAGTACATGAATTTTAAGTGATACGTGATCTCGATATGTCTTTGACCAACATTTTCATGGACGTCCGTTAAGATCTTATTAATGCGTGAGTTGGTCCCAAGGGGCAAACGAACGCATTTTCAAGTTCAAATAAGCTCTAATGCGAAAAATTAAATTTTACCTATTTTCATGTGCTATTATCCATGTATATTTTGTGATACGTGATGTCGACTTGTTTTTTGCTAAAATTTTTAATGGACGTCTGTTACGACCTTATTAATGGTGTGAATTGATCTTGAGGGGCAGAGAGACGCATTTCATGTTTAAACGAGCCCCAATGCGAAAAAAATAAAGTTACTGATTTTTGTATGTTATAGTTCATGAATTTTTGGTGATACATGCTCCCAACTTATTTTTGACCAAAATGTTACGATCTTATCAATGAATACTTATTTGTAGGACGAATCTCGTATGTGTTCTTGAGAGAGGGAAATTATCTATTTTCTAGAGTCTCAAAGGGTCGTGGAAATATTCAATGGAAAAGAGATTCAACTCACTTAGAATCTATCGTAAATTTTGAACACCTTAGAGTGTTAAATAATTATGTAACTATATGAAATGAAATTTGATTTCAATTAGTCACATTAGCAATACTTTTTTACTGTGAAGTTTCATTTTTAATTTAGAAGTAAAAATAGGGAACTAAAAAACCTGTAGTTAAAGAACATTTTATCTTATTTTGACATCCAATTTTAATCCTCTACAGTGTAAATTAATTATCGAGTTTCTTTAATTACAGACGATTAGAAATAATTGATTTGTAAAATTTATTGTATATTCAAGTTATTTTAAAATAATTTTGTCACTTTTTATAATTTTTAAATAATATATATTTTTTTATATAATCATGTATATAATTAATAAATTTTCTGAATATTCAAAAATCGTCTAGAAAAAGTTCATTCTAATATTTTGTAGATTATATTTTCAAACTAATTATAAATAAACAAACTATTGCATTTTGTTAAGAAATAATCTTGTAATGTAATTGAATTTAGCTATGTTGTTAATTTTAATTGGTAATTTGAAATAAAACCCCTTTAATTGTAATATTACTACCTCATTTTAAACTCTTTTTAACTTTCAGATCCCACTTCATTTCCCCCAACGTTCACAATATTCTCTATAAAATTCAAATTAAACATACCAGACCTTCGTCATCTTCTTCAAGAAACCAATACAGTGCAACGTTCACAATATTCTCAAAGCCTTGCGCTTCCGTACGAGGCCAAGATCAGACGGCTGAGTTCATCAATTTGTTGATTATTTCTGGTATGTTCAAATTTCGAATTAAACCCATTTTCATTCGCTTCATTGAGAAAGATGGAAGAGGGAA